TTACTAAGTCGCAATTGATGTTGTAAGGCTACGGAATATTCGGTGCTGATATACGTTATAACTTCTTATTATATTCGCGTGGTCGAATATACTGGATTCTAGCAGTCATTGTACTATAACTACTCCATACCCTGAGGAAGTTTTGTGAGGGACGAACAAAACTTTTGCATTAACTTCTTCTGGAGTTTCGTTGCCATAATTCATTTCTCTATTACTTGTTTTATACCTGTAACATATATATATATATATATATATATATATATATATATATATATATATATATATATATATATATATATATAAAGGCAGATTATTGTAATAAAGATTATATCTGTATAGATAGTTTTCCATTAGTATTTTGTAATTTAAAGTATCAAATGCCTTTGATAAATCTAAAAATATGCCCATGGATATATCTTTGTTTTCATAACCCTCATTTATCTTTGTTATAAAATCATAAATGACAGTCTCTATAGAATTTCTGTTAAGGTACCCATGTTGTGCATGGCATAAGTCCCTCACTATAGAAAAAACTGAGAAGCCTGTCACACATGACTGTTTTAAAAACCTTTCAACTGAGACTGAGCAAGAATTTACATGTCTATAATTCTTTAGATCACATTTATCCCCTTTTTTGTGAAATATTGTTACTAGACTATCTTTCAAGTCTTTAGGGATCTTGCTATTATGGAACCGTCTATTAAATACCTGTTATTATAGGGATGGTTAGTGGCTTACTTGTTTTCAAGAGCTCAGCAACTATACCGTTGGGTCCTGGAATTTTATTATTTTTCAGCTCTTTTAAAGCTCTTTCTATTTCGAATCTTTTTATATTTGGTATGACTTCTGATCCCACGTTTTCCATCTTAATGAATCAACAAAGGAGAACACCTAGAGTTTACGAAGAAATAAATATTTTAATGTTTAATGTATCAATATTTATATATATATATATATATATATATATATATATATATATATATATATATATATATATATTTACATCTGACTATCTGTATGGCACCTCTACATATACGTATAGATTTGGCACCCACCGAAAGGAATTGATTATTTGCATATGTACCTGTGTATATTACATTAGAATTTACGATAGATCATACTGTTACATGTAAAATTATGAATTTGTTAAAAATACAATTATACTCTCTTTATATATTTCGCCATTCTTTTGGACCCCTTTTATACTCGTATTCATTAGGTACCCGATGTATACTTTACTCATTTTCAGGGCTATGTGGCACCCACAATGTATATTTTTTAGCTACATTACAATACATATTACACCCGCTGTGTTGCCACATTGTTGTTATGTTGCATTAATTTTGATATTGATTTCATTGGACTCTTTGGTATCTTATTTATATATGATGTTTATTTTTAGTTATTATTCAAATGTAGTTAATTTAAATTTATTATAATTGACAATTTTTTTATTAATAAATTTCTTTATGTTTATTTTAAATAGGAATTATAAACTTCCTCATTTAATTTAAATTAATATTTTTACAATTTGCAATTTTGTAATTTCAATAATTTTTTCATTTGATTGGTTTACTCTATACTTCTATTTTAATTATCATTATAAATTTATTAATTGCCTAATTACTATTTCTCATTTATAAGTTATTTAATTTAAATACCAACAACGCAATTTAAAACAACCGAATTAATTCTTTGGAAATAAATTTAGGATAAAGTTCTATATACCTGGGGTGATCGACAAGGGTCCAAACTAAGTATAGTACCTACTTCAAGACGTAATGTATTGATGACCTTATGTTCGTATATAGAATACCTTTTTAAAATTTAGTTTAACAATGTATTACATTTTAATTTCAAACACAGGTTACCAATTTTAAATGTAAAAAATAACACATAAAAATTTAGCGTTTTTTTCTTTAAGATACATTTACAGATTAATTTCTTAATGTTTTATATTAACGTTAATAATAAACGACTTAAAAACCCTTTATTTAAAATTTCGCATAATTTATATAGAAATTTTTGAGCTTTGTACGATTTTTATATTTAAAATTCAATTGAATAAGATGCCATTTATTTTAAAGTTTTCAAAAGTTGACATATTTATATTTACATGCACAATAATGTATTTCATTTTATATATCTATATATTAAACATTGGAATGAAATTAAATGTGTACGAATTAAAACGTGGTTGTATTTAAAATATACAAATAGAAAAATGCGTATTCGGGCCGGCTACCTTCTTTTACTACTATTGACGGTCTAATAAGTAATATTATGTAAATTTGTAATTTTTAGTTAGGAACTACAATTGTGATTTCGGTTATTAAGTTTTCAAAATTGTACAAAATAATAACTAAAGTTTTATTGAGCTTAGAACTTCGTTGTGATTTTGAAAATTTCAACAACTTCCAATACATACTCTAATATTGAGTAGTTCTCCGTTTTATGAATGCTATAATTTATTCATATTTATTAGCTTGGATCCTTGTCGAGCACCCCAGGTATATTAGGATAAGTGAAATATTGTAAAAGTTGAGCAATATTTTGACATATTTATATTTTATTAGAATAAAATTATTATATGCAGCACGTGTTGGAACAATCAGCACTGCGCACATCATATCTTCAACAACCAATAAGACAAACAAATTCACGTGAGCTTTGTTTATTGTATGCTTTATGATATTTTTTAGTCTTGTTTCAACTCGCAGACAAACGGTTGATTAAGATGTTGTCATTACGTTTCGTACTTTTTTTATTGCAATTTGTTGATGCTGTTTCCACCATTTCCGGTGGCTCTACATATGATATATATTGGAATATTTCTAATAACATTTTTCAAAAAAATAAATTTTTTTTGTTCAATTCAAACCTGGCCACGAATATTTTTTCATTTCCACACCACATAATTATAATTTAAACAGAAGAATTGGGGACCAGTGTAAAATGAAAATAATGATTAAAGTGGAAGGTCACCAGAAGCCTTTGGCGACCTCCATCTACACACCAGTATTTATTCAAAATATATTTATAAAAATTTTAAGATTCATATTTATATTTATTGAATAATTTTTTGTGTTTCTATGAATTATTATAATTTGTAATTGTTAATAAAAATTTCTAATTATTTAATATTATTGTTTCTTTATCTACATAATATACCTATTTTATCCTATTATCAATTTGCGATATTTTTTGCCTATTGAATTGTTATATCGTTATAGTTTATTTATTGTTTTTCTTATGGTATTAAAAATGAATCTCTTGTTGTCGGCGTCCTTTTGATTTGCGAGTTGAAAGTATACTATTGTGGCACAGGTATGAATGGATATCCCAACATTTTACTTTGCGACTAGCCGCAACCTCAATTCTGTGTCATACCGAGAAGTTATTTACTTAATATATATTTCAATTATGTGTTATATTTGCTTGGGTATATAATATAATACGTATTACTTTTGTCACTTCTCTTTTTTCATTTCCTTGATACCCTCTAATTTCTTAAAGATTAATAAACTATGTTCCTAAATAGCACCACGAGTCACTTAACTTTGTATTTATACCTAAATTAATTTGAAAAGTTACATTAAACATTTATCTTTTATAATAAAAGCGTTCCCAACATAGCGTAAAAAGCATTTAATAAGTTACATATTATTTGGGTTTTAAACGATTTCAATTAATGCAAAAACGTTTTTATCACACGGCATTTTACAAGGAACATTTATGTTAAAATATGGAATGCAAAATATGCTGTAATACATATAATGTTTCGAATTTCAGTAAAAGAATTTTACATATAATTTTAGATTTGCTAATATTTATTATTTCAGTTTGTATTTTCTTTACTCATAAAATTAATTATTGAAGAATAGTAAGTGATTACTTAAGTCGGGTGATACACGATGAGAATTGTTGCGATCTTTTTGGGATTTCCTAGTAGGTATAAAGCGCGCTATCTTTTTCTAATGCCAGTGTGAAATGGCTTAAAAAAAGATAGCGGCGCATTGGTAATTTTTCTATTCTGACAAAATTCTCATCGTGTGTCCCGGGACATAATAGCATTCTTTTAATTTATATAGTTTTTGTTTACGTTTGTCTAATAAGCTTGATATAAAATAAACATTTATATAATATTTTTATTTTATTACCCAAATTACCAAAAATTCTTCATTTGCATATTCTGTTGATTATATTTTTTAAATATAGCTAAATTTAAATTAAAATACATAACACATTTAACCACATTCGTAATAGTTGTGTGTCATTTCTATACATTATGCAATTTGTTTGTGCATGTTTATTTTTATGTTTAATGTTTGTATTATATTTTATTTAACATGTGCAAACGATTTAGTTTACAACACAACAGGAGGTCATCATTCAAAGAAACAAGTTACCTTCCCGTTCCGCCCAGTTTTTATTGCTTGAGGAATGGGTACCATTTCTGTTATTTTGTTTTTCTGGGAAATATTTTTTTAAATCAATTTGAGGGTTTCGTAAGATTAAAATAAAATTAATTCGAATATTACTTTTATGTAGAAAATAAATACAATTTCCTCTCATTGCTGTTATTGTAAGGAGTTTAGAAATGAAATACGTGGTATTGCCGTTTAAATGTTTTTATTACTTTTGTATTTCTTTGCCTATCTATTTTAAAACAATAATATACTCGATAAAAAAAGTTTCTAATAAATTAGTAGTAAACAAACCCTTTATTTGAATATTTCCGTGTAAATGGTATTGAAAACACGCCCCATGAACTTTATATAATTATTATTACTGCAGATATTATTTAAATAAGATGTAAAATTTATAAGAAAATTTTGTAAAAACTTTAAACTATTAAATTAATAAAATATTTTTCATTGACGTTCAGTGTATGGTATTAAAACAAGAATTAGGTAATACTTTGTGATCAGGTTATATTATTTAATATTAAATGGATACAAAATTACAATACTATTAATGTTAATTTAATTACAAGTTATTTAGTTCGGTTTTTTTGAATATAAATTTTGGATATACACTTTTATCTTAAGCCACGACTTGTTACTTAAAACTTTTTTATTTTCTTGTATTAACTGCTCACATTCTCTTTTCTTTGGAGGTCTCTTAGTTGTAATATGGTCTTTAAAAAAATCAGTTACAAGTTTTTTTTGTTCCATTGTCCAAGGAACTAGTGTCCTTGCTTTCTTTGCCTTATGTTCGGATACGGGAACGGAAGATACAAAACTTTGGGTACTGGTTGATGGAAGAGAATTATCAATTGTAACAGGAACCCGGTCATTTATATCCATATCTGAATCCTCGGAATTTAAATTTAATAAATTTTCATTCAAATTTACTTCAATCTCATCTATGGACTTTCCCTTATATTGGGCACCATTACCACTTTCCATTAAAAGTAATAACTTTGTAATTTTTGCCGTTTGGTAAATATCGTTGGGCAATCTATACGACTTTTTATGTACCTCCGTTGTGTGGCCCATAAACGTCGAAAGTTGTTCCAAATCATTCTCTGTCATGCTAAACACCTGAGTAATCGTGGCTAAATGCTTCCGTAGCCTGGTTGAAGTGATAGCTCGGGGATTTTTGACACCGCTCCTTGAAACTATTTTACTCAGAGTTTTATATCCACAAATTGGTGTCTGGTATCCCGGCCTTCCAAAAAGGTAAGGATTATCGTCGGAAATAAAATTGGACCTGTGTTTTAACATGACATCTATATGATTTTGGACTTCTGGGCTAAACAACACAGGTACTCCTCTACCACGCTTTCCCCTTATAACTACTCGCTTAAATTTTTTAACCAAAATTTTTTCGCTGGCTGTTAAAATATTGCCGAACTCTTCATATTTTTGGTCATTACAATTTGTTTCGCTGCATTTGTAATAAAATAGCGGCATCCTTTCAAGCTCTCCAGGCCTTCGCCTATTCAATATTATTACTTGGCAAAATATTATTTCTACCAACGACGTATATGCTTCTGCATTTAAATTAGTTGATTGCAATTTTGAAATAGCGGCTACTGCCTTTTCTAATAAATATTTTTTTAGAATATTTAAATCCGACGATAACGGAACAAGTGTTATCTTATTCCACTTCTTAATACTTAAGTCATTAGCGGCCTGACTGCTTATTTCATATCTCCAATGAGATTCAAACAGCTTTATTAGTGTTTTTAAATTTGCCTCCGCCTCACCGGCTGCTATTGTCGAATAAAATTCTTTTCTTTTGAGGACAAATACGATAGCTATTTCGCAGCATTGTTTAAGGGTCGTAGCAATATTCAAGGCCAAAGTTGGGGATTTGAATACTTGGTTCGTTTCGTCGTAATTTGCAACAATTTTGGTGGCTTGCACAAACAGGTCAAAGTTGGCTGGTTGAAGAGAGTGAAACAAATTTCGAACATTATTGTTCAATTTTTTAATTTCAATTAGTATTTTTGCCAGCTCTCGCATTTTTCTTGATGCAACATTAACGAAATGTGCTTCCCTATGTACCGATATGTAGCGAGAGCCAAATGCACATATCAGTTCATCCTTTTTGGCTACAAGGGAAACAGAATCTGGTCGCATCCGCGGAAAAACCTGATTTCTTAATCGCTCATCAACTTTTGTTTGTTTGGTCAAAAAGTTTTGACCATCGGACTGAGCAGTCTTTGAATTGCTGTTAAGATTTTTTGCACAAACTTTTCTGTGTTTCCACAATTGTTTTTTTGAATAAAATCCATAACAATTTGTGCATGGTAAATAATCTTCTTCATTCAAAAGTACCGATGTCTTTTGTGGTCTTTTGCAGCCTTCAGAATTTATGATGAAATTGCCTTTTTTGCGCAAATTTGCTAAAAGTTCTTTCCTTTCGCGACTGTTCTTTGGTTTAGACAATATGCGCTGGACCTCAATTTCGTCGGGATGGTTTCTCTCGATATGGCGAGAAAACTGTAAAACCATTGTATCACAAAAGTAACAATGGTTCTTAAGACTAATGCGCTTTGCTTGGTTCATAGGATGATCTTCCGAAATTTCAGGATCCTGGTTTTCGATTTCGGTGTCGGATTCTAAATTTAAATTTTCATTGTTCAATGGGTCCTAAAAATTTAAATATATTAGTAATTTAACACGAATCAATAAGTAATTAATCTATTAGTTCACCTCTAAGGCAACATCCTCGGATGAACATGAAACTGCATCGCTCTCAGAAGAGCTACTTTTGGTTGATTCATCCATTCCGAACTCAGGGTCTTTATCTGAATCATAGTATTCAGTACTATCCTAAAAGCCAAAAAAAACAGAGTAATTAATTTATTTATTATTTTTCATTTTAATTATCTTACGGATACATCTGAAGGTGCAAAATCATAAATAGAAGCAGGCAGCTCAGTAATTGATGTTTCGGTCGCAGTTTTGCTACATATTTCATTGGTTTCCTAAAACAAAAATAATTTACAAGTCGTTCTGATAAAAACATTGCATTAATTTACCGATTCATCAGAACTATAATCGGCTACAAGTTGAACAGGCTCACAACTTATGGGGAATGATATTTTTCCTTCAACATTATTTATCTCAGGATTTAAAATTTTAGGAACAGACGCGCAATTGCTGTCTTTTGCTACCTACAAAGCGACAAATTTTTATTAAAGAATATTAGACAGCTTTCTAAAATTTACCAAAAATATATTACATATTTTAGATCTCGTAAAGGTAAAACATCAACAAACCTTATGTTCTTTTTTTGGACAATTAGAAGTGACTTGTACACCTAAAAAAAAAATTAATACATGGTGATAAACAAGGCAACAAAAAACTGAATAATACAATCGGTTCTATTTTGGCGAGTTTTGTTTTATTAAAAACCCTACTAGAATAAATTCTGAACTTATATTAAGAAATAGCTACGATTAATTTATACTTTATAAATTATACTAAAATGACTGTCTTGTAGCTCGATAAATCAGTTATGTACTTATAAATATAATTCATAATTAGTTTATGATGCCATAATAAAAATAAGCAAAGTTAATAACTCCTTTTAAGTCACCATAAGCGAAATATTTGAAATAAAATTCTGACGTTAAGAAATTTAATTTAAATTAAATACTAAATGATAAATTTGTAACGCGGAAACTTAATAGTATAATCACATGTACTATTTATAGTTTCGTTTTATTTCGGAGCTTTGATATAGCCTTCCCAGTCACTAATAAATGGCCTATCGTGCGTGCGTTACATAGCTTGAGTTGCATTATTGTTTAGGTAATTTTCGGGAAAACCCTGTTCCTAAGATTCAGTACACAAAGCGCTGGTCAAATAAAAACCTTTTAAGGGTAGAAATATGTAATCTTAATATTTATTACAGTAAGTAGGTAAAATTTTTGAATGACTCAAATTCGTAGCCTGTAAAATATCCCTCAATGAAGATTTTTACATACTATTTATATTAAACTCTAATTAAAGAAAGGAATCTATCCAGAAATTGTGTATTGTGTTTCAAAAATGTCTATCCCAAGTAATTGGACCAACTATTTTTTTTATTGTGAAAAAGCATATCATAATAATATTTATAAACTTGTTATATATAAATAAGTCTATGTGTTAGATATAATATTTTTGAATTTTCACTAATGGAAATGTTCGTTATTTCACATAGTATTATTTTTTAAATTATCTTTTACATGTCAAAAATAATAAATTTTCTTATATCGTTACTACATGTCATTTTCCTTTATTTAGCAAAAATTATTTCGATACGTTGTGTAATTGTTTAAATTCTGATCAAATAATATATATACTTCATCTAATTTAGATAACGACTTACGTCATTATCTACGTCAGAGATCGAAGTTGACATAGTTGCCAAAGTATAAAAAAATCCTGACTCCATTTTAAATCAAATAGGTCACATAATTATTGCAAAAGTATTACCATCTCTTTACAACGACTATTTAAATTCTTACGTGACATTTTTGAAATAAAATACACTAATTTTGTTCCAAAAAGAACAGATTTTATTAAATAGGTAAAAATATAAAACAAGAGGTATTCACTTTAAAATTCAAAATAATAAAGTACAAAAAGTGTCAACACCGCAACTGTCAAATAAGTGTTACCAATTTATGCCAAAATTTTACCTTCGTTCGATTACAGTTACAGTGTGTTCCGAACAAATGTTCTTGATAAAAACTCTTTATAATGGATTTATACAAATTAAATGAAACATATTATTGTGTCTTTCTTTAAGTTAACATTAATAGAAATTTTTAAATATTATTTCTACGCGTATATAATAAAATATGTCTAGTGGCTGTAATGCCAGTGTACTCGGTAAAGTGATTCTAAAAAGAACACACCTAAACCCTAAATATTTCGTGTTGGTATCATATGACGTCACAGGCTATGACACCGATGACGTGCATCGTTATATAAATTAGATGAAGTGTAGGTTTCTATTATTTCTATAGCTGCTTTTTTAATATATGGCCACTTAGTTACTTTCAAATAGTTTAATAAATAACTTAATATATATTTCGACTTCTTAAGTTAACTTCAGAAGTATAATAAGGAGCTTAGCTAAACAAGTTAATATTATTCCAAAATAATATACAGCCACAACAAAACAGAAAAACAAATAGTGCGGGGAGGGGTATTTTTTATTTACATCAAAGGGCAGGTAGACAACTTTAAAGTGGCGACGAAAATAAGGCAATACAATTCATTCATAAGGGGTTTCCCTTGTCTAATGGCTTTATGGCTTTCAAAGGTTTTTAAAAGATCTAGAACTTAAGCCGTTATTGACCATATGTATCACTTTTAAATTGTCTATGGAAAATGGTGTGTTTGTTTTTAAACATAAGTTTCGCTACGTTATAATTTGTTTTATGTAACTGCAAAGAATTTAAATGTTCCTTAAATCTAAATTCAAAGTTACGTACGGTTTTCGCGATATAAACAAATAGTGTGGGGAGGGGTATTCTTATTTACATCAAAGGGCAGGTAGACAACTTTAAAGTGGCGACGAAAATAAGGCAATACAATTTATTCATAAGGGGTTTCCCTTGTCTAATTGCTTTATGGCTTTCAAAGGTTTTCAAAAGATCTAGTTTTAAGCCGTTATTGACCATATGTATCACTTTTAAATTGTCTATGGAAAATGGTGTGTTTGTTTTTGAACATATGTTTCGCTACGTTATAATTTGTTTTATGTAACCGCAAAGAATTTAAATGCTCCTTAAATCTAAATTCAAAGTTACGTACGGTTTTCGCGATATATACATATATAAAGAGTCAGAAGAATTGCAGATTATTTTATAGATTCCGCTTTTAATATTTTATCTTTATTTCCTAATTTGTTGTTGATCAATATCTTTTTTAAAGTATAGTTGCTGTAATAAGCTGCAGTGATTTTTAATTGTTTTAATTTTATGAATGTTGACCTAACTTCCTTATTATTCTTTAATTATTTTATAGCAAGCTTATTAGACAAACGTAAACAAAAACTATATAAATTAAAACAATGCTATTAAGTCCCGGGACACACGTTGACAATTTTGTCAGAATAGAAAAATTCCCAATGCTCCGCTATCTTTTTTTAAGCCATCTTACACTGGCGTTAGAAAAAGATAGCGCGCTTTATACCTACTAGGAAATCCCAAAAAGATCACAAAAATTCTCATCGTGTATCACCCCACTAAGAGTCCCTAATAAGTCGAAATAAAGGTTTTTAATAAGCTAATTGAACGTAACCAAGTGCTTTCTATTCGTTCCTTGATGTATCTAAAATATTCTTTCAATAAGTGATTACAGCTGAATTAATCGAATTTATGTAAAATTTATTTTGTCGAATTAACTAAACAAAGTCAACATTTCTTTAGTTTTATTAATATTAATTTGAACGGTACATCATAAATATCATTATATGATTTACAGTAATTAGTTTAAAATAAATAAATTTCATAGAAATAATTTAACTTATAAAAATTATTCTAATCGAATACAAAAGAGCGTTTGATAGTCTTTTGAAATTAACATGAACAATATTCGTGAAAATAGCGCTTTCGCTTTCTTCTTACCCTATACCGTTACTGTTTTAATAAAACGGTAAATTCTTTACCTCATAATCTATTACTGTTATTTAAAATAACTATTGCATATATAAGTTTGTTTTTTTTTTGTCAATTGTTAAAAAAATCGCTGTTTTTTATTTGAAGGTAAACCGGAACTCTTAAGAATTCATAGGTTTATTATTAAAATAACATCAATGTTAATTCTAGGTATTTTATTATTGCCGTTTTATTGTAAATTCGGGCTTTAGACACGAAAATGGTATAAATTCATTTGTATATACAAATATAATATTTTTTGTCGCAATTAAAGTAATAATGAGTATAATGGTTTTTTATTGTACAGTAGTATGAATAGATGAAATCAAATATGCTATCAAAAACTCTAAGACAATAAGGCAGCTGGATTAGATGAAATACCAGTAGAACTCTTAAAACTAGTGGAAGAGGACAACTTGGAAGTATTGGCAGATTTATTCAACACGGTGTACGATACGGGAATAATACCACAGGAGTGGCTAAAGTCAGCATTTATAACCATCCCTAAAAAACAAGCAGCAAAAGAGTGCTCTGATTATTGAACACTGAGCCTCATCAGTCATACTTTAAAAGTTCTGCTAAAAATAATACATAAGAGAATATACGAAAGGCTAGAGGAGGATATTAGCGAGACGCAGTTCGGGTTCCGAAATGGAATGGGTACTCGAGAAGGACTATTGGCCATCAACATATTAATTCAGCGATGTCGGGATGTGAATGTTAATCTACACTTGTGCTTCGTTGACTACGAAAAAGCTTTCGATAAAGTAAGACATGAAAAACTAATATCAATACTTATGAACAAGCGCATTGACAGTAAAATCATAAATATAGTGCAAACATTATATTGGAACCAAAGTGCCATAGTTCAAATTGATGGGCAACACTCAGAAGAAATGAAGATCTGTAGAGGAGTTAGACAGGGATGTGTGTTATCACCACTTTTGTTTAACTTATATTCTGAAGAAATTTTCCAAAACACGCTCAATAATATCGAAGCGGGAGTCACCGTTAACGGAAAATTAATTAATAATTTAAGATATGCAGATGACACTGTGATCATAGCAACGAGTATAGAGGATCTACAACATCTTATCGAAAGCTTGAGTATAAATAGTGCTGAGATGGGAATTACTATAAACGCCAAAAAAACGAAGTACATGCTGATTACAAAAAGGCCACAAAATATATATCACCTATTGACAATAAATGGTAACGTGATAGAACAAGTAGAAAAATATCAGTATTTGGGAACTTTGATCAATGAAACCAATGATCATACTGTAGAAATAAACAGACGAATAGAGATTGCCAGATAGGACCCTTAAGCTAGCGGGGACACATGAGCGGAATCCAATTTAACCTACGTAATATTTTTTCACTCATTTTCACTAATTTATTACCACCCTAATAATTTTTCACCACCAAACCAACCTTAAAGGGAGCGATTCTGCTGGCTCAAGGTTCAAGCCAGCAGAATTCAAAAAATAAACTTTTTGTTGATGGCATATTTTTTCACCCATTTTTCACTAATTTATTACCATCATAATATTTTTTCACCATCAAACCACCCTTAAGGGGAGCGATTTTGCTGGCTTACGGTTCCAACTAGCAGAATTAAAATAAATATGTACGACATACCATAGTGTTTTGATAGGTTTTTACGAATTTATTACCACCCTAGCAATTTTTCACCCCTTAACTACCCCTTCAGAAGTCAATAATTGTGATAGATTAAAATTAAAGGAGAATTTTTTTTTCAAATTTACTCTCCTCTACTTATAACTGAAATAAAAAAGTGTTTAGTTAAGATTTTACTAAACTTTGACCATCCTGATAATTTTGCTCCCATAAACCTTTTCGGAAACTTGTCTGCTAACTCAATATTCGAACCAGCGGAATTAGAAAAAAACGTATTTTTGAAATATTATAGTATTCTATACCAACTTAGTAATTTTTTATCCCTCGACTAACCCTTGTTGGAAGTTAATAATTCTGCTATTGAAAAAGTATTGTTTTATAATTTTACTCTTTTCTGTGGCAAATAGATTTTTGTCTAATGCCATTTCTCTCTCATACACACACATACACACACACGCACACACACACACATACATAATTTTACTAAATACTATTTATAAATAAAATAAGAAACCGCTCTGGTTGGTTTTTACTATTAGTTATCCAACCTCACCAATTCTACCATCTAAACATTTACGCTAGTTAAATACAAAGCAAATTTTTTCGGAAATATGAGATACGATAGTATGGTGCTAGATTTGTACTAATATATTAGCATCCTAGTAATTTTTTACCCTTTAACTACCCTCCCAATCCGGAATTAATAATTCTGCTAGGTTAAAATTTAAGGTGATAAAAAATCTATTTCTATAATTTAACTGTATTCTACTTTTAACTGATTTTATAAATTGATTGCCAGGTTTTTACTGAATTTGATCCACCCTTATAATTTTTGACCCCCTGAGCCTCAGTTAACGGGAAACATTCAAAAAGCTACACATTGAGGCTAGGTAAATAAAAAAGCTTTTTTTGGAAACACAAGAGTGCTCTCCTAGATTTTTACTATATTTTTACCAACCTAGTCATGTTTTTCTCAACTACTCTAATTGAAAAACATTTTCAAATCTTATTCTATGCTAACAATTTTTTATTTTTTTAGTGTTTAAATATTGAAAATACTTTATTCCAAAAAACTATAAATTTGAACCCTTTATGAATATAAAATAACTGAAATCGAGTTGAGTTTTAGTCAATACAATGGAATTTTTATATTTCACAGAATAAATTACCAGGTAATTCAAACTAACATTTCAGGTATTACCAGGTAATAAACATTCAAAATAACATAACACACAAATTGAAATAATTTTATTACGTCTATTATATTATTTAACTAATTGAAAAGAAGGGTCGGGACCGTGCGTATCTATTGTTAAGAGATTAAAAGATTTGTATTCAGTAGGTATATGAAAATTTGAAAAATAATTTAGGTATTTAATATTATTCAAATAAGAAGAGTATTAACGATTGGTCAAACCATATTTTTAAGATTATGTGTACCTATAGCACAAAGAATTTATCTTGGAAAACATTTTAGGATATAAATATTTTAAGTAGGTATATTCAAATAAATCGGAAATTACCGGTTGGTCAGAACAGCTGTTGTAGATTATTTGCGTAGTAAATTAAATTTAAATTAGCAGCATTTTAAAAATTTAAAGATCTTTGTATTTTTTTAATTCTTTGTCGAATTTTCATTCATTGTGTTGAATATAACTAGAAATTAAAGGGCATTTCAAAAAATATTAACCTGTTTATTTTGTTTATGGAAATGTTTAGAAGAATCGACCAAGGAGAGATCTGGTTTCTCGGGACAGTTCGCACACTCATAAATTGGGTTTTTTCTAATGTTTAGGATAGTACTTACTCTGCATCTTTTTATTATTAATTTTTTATATTAATAATTCTATATCAATTATTTATAGGTAAATGTTCGCGTACGATATTCCGTCTTTCTTTACTTTTTTTATGAATTAATTTACGAATTAATTCTAACCTTCATACCGTTTTTTATGTGTTTTTTATTTAATATATTGTTTAAAACTAAATCTAACTTTCCACGGTACCATCGATTCATCTAGTGGTCATTCTTTTACTGGATAATACAGAGCAGTCATTTTATAATTAAAAAGTATATGACTGTTGTTATTCTATAAAACCGATCTACAGAAATAACATTAGGTCTCATTGGATTATGGATGAAGTGTAAGCACCCTAAAATTTAAAGAACAAGATCTCTGCCGAAAAACTTAACATAACACGTTTTTATTTCAGTTATAAGTAGCGAAGAGTAACATTGTAAAAGAATATTTTTCACCTTAAAGTTTAACAGAATTATTGACTTCCCATAGGAGGCAGTTGAGGGGTGAATAATTGCTAGTGTGGAATTAAATTCGCAAAAACCTAGCAAAACACTGTGATATTAAAAAAAATAATTTTTTTCTGATTTTGCTGGTTCAAATATTGAGCTAGCAGGAACATTTTTAAATAAGATTAGTTTAGAAGTGCAAAATTATTAGGATGCTCAAAGTATAGTAAAAACTTAACAAACCACTTTTTTTTATTTCAGTTATAAGTAGAAAAGAGGAAAAAATTTCTTCGTAAATTTTAATCTAACACAATTATTGACTTTTCACAAGGGGTAGTTAAGGTGGTAATAAATTAGTGAAAAATGGGTGAAAAAATATGCCATTAACAAAAAGTTTTTTTTCCAAATTCTGCTAACTTGAACCTTAAGCCAGCAGAATCGCTCCCCTTAAGGTTGGTTTGGTGGTGAAAAATTATTAGGGTGGTAATAAATTAGTGAAAAATGGGTGAAAAAATATTACGTAGGTTAAAATGGATTCCGCTCATGTGTCCCCGCTAGCTTAAGGGTGCTTTGCCAGATCAGCATTTATACGAATAAAGCCACTCCTAACGTGCAAAAATCTAAATTTGGAGATCAGACTACGTACCATTCGCTGTTATATATTTTCAATATTATTATATGGAGCTGAGACTTGGACATTAAAAAAATGTAATTTAAAAAGAATCGAGGCCTTCGAACTCTGGTTATACCGCAGAGTATTGAAAATATCATGGACTGATAGAATTACAAATAAAGAAGTACTGGAGAGGGTTGGTAAAGAAACAGAACTAATCACCACTATACAAACCAGAAAACTGGAATACCTAGGCCACGTGATAAGGGGACCAAAATATGAAATTTTGAGACTGATAATACAGGGAAAGATTCAAGGAAGAAGATCTGTTGGCCGAAGGCAGAACTCATGGTTAAAGAATCTACGTGATTGGTACCAATGCAGATCGATTGATTTGTTTAGAGCAGCAAGTTCTAAAATAAAAATAGCCATTATGATTGCCAACCTCCGTAGGGAGACGGCACTCTAAGAAGAAGAAGTATGAATAAGCGCTTGTAAATATTTAGATCCAAAAGCATACATACAACACCAGAACATGAATTATGGGTGTACGGGACTTAAGTATATTTTTTAAATTTAACTTTATATTAATATTTGATTTATAAAAATGAGATATAGAACAAATATTTACCTAGCATATAATATAAACGCAGCAATTTCTTGCAAATATAAAATAAAAAAAATTAAGTTCAAAATAGTTCGATTGTATTTTTAATTTAAGAAAAGGAAAATTATTGAAAATATGCATATTACAAAAAATATATTCTTTGTACTTACCCGCTAATTCCAACATTTTCTGGGCGCGCGAAGAATTCATCACAATTTATTTATCAACACGAGTATCAATAAAAGTAACTATTCACAACAGCACAACTTCTGTAATAAGACTTTTTCGAATTGCGGGGTTGACAAATTACGGGGTGCCGAATGTACGATCAAATGTCGTAGAATGTATACTTTGAAATATACGCGGCGATACTAGAGACATTTGCGGAAAAAAATGTAACTACAAATACACCCAAATTTTTATTTTACTATTAATTTGGCACCCCCCTAAAACTGTGTTTGTTGCTTAAATATTATGATTTTCTAGCTTTTCAACACAAAAAACTTTCGGCACCCGATATACGGGTACTAAAAGTAGGTGGGTGCCATATCATATGAAAATTTGGAAATGTATGGGTGCCATATGGATAGTCAGATATATATATATATATATATATATATATATATATATATATAGGTATATGTTTATATATATATATATATATATATATATATATATATATATATATAAATATATATATATATATATATATATATATATATATATATATATATATATAATTGGGTGGTGCCGGTAAAATAAATAAATTTTAACAACATAATAATTATTGACGTAAATCTTCATTTTATAATTCAAAATTTACAAACTAAATTTAAACAGTATACTCTGTAAAATGTAACATTATATAAATAAATAATTAAGAAAGAAAATTTTGTTGTGTTTTATCTTTATCTTCTTGTGTCTTATCTTGATTGTTCACTCTATGAAAATATCTATTGGAATAAACGTTCTTGATGTTGATTGGATAGTATGTTCAAGGTGAGTGAGCGGTAAATTTGAAAGACTTACTGTACAGCTTGTCACGCAGGGGAGCTATACTATACTATATATTATATCATCCGCTCTTTATTGGTGAGCCTGCATACACGGAACCATTAGTTCCGTCTATGCAGGCTCATTTATTATTATAGAGAGCGGGTATGATATAATATAGCATATACCCGGTTCGCTATTCCCAGTCCGAACTGTCTAGTGATTTTAGTAATTCTTTTTTTGCGAAGTTAGTTACTTTTTGACAGACTCGAAGTGGCTGGAAATTACTATACAACCAAGCATACGTGCTCTTAGTCAATATTAATGTAAACAAAAGTAAATAAAATAGAACTTTGCCGACAATCAATATTTATTTATTTACACCGTATAATGTATTGATAGCAAATAATAAAATGATTTATTGTACAAAATAAAAAAAGTGGGAATAAATTCTACAAAATTAAAAAGTCAAAGTGAGGTTAAATAAGAGAGCAAGTTCCTTATGTTGTGACTAGGATGGAATCAATGATTAAAGATTAACAGTTCATTGGATAACATTAACATAAACTGTTGTTTTATTATCTTACAAAATAAGTGTACTTCCATATGCTAAAAGCAAATATTAGTAATTTGACTAGGCAAATTCGTGGTTCAATAGTAATTTTTGCTCATTAGCATTTGAGGATGTTGAAATCTTCCACATATGGTGAATGAATTCAGTGTCCTGCACAGACCACTCCAGGTGATCTGTGGTGTCCTGGCCGCAGTCTGCAGTCATATAAACCCAAACAAACAACAAAAACCTCCATGTAAGTATAAACAAGTTTATATTAAATTAGAAACAACTAATCTAAAAATATTAACTTTTAAAAAACATTTTATCATATTTATTAAGAAAAACTTACCAACGCATTAGCTGATGGAACAAATGAAAAACTTTGACTATCCATAATAATAAACTTTAAAATATAACTAATTAATTAACTGAATAGAACTAACAAAAGAATTAAATAAAGATAATAAAACAATAAAACTATATTAAATTAAATAAACAACGCGAATAATACAAATATTTACTACAATATTTTAAATTGTAACAATTCAAATATTATATTTATACAGGGAAAATTTGATGGGTTTAGTATACACCTCCACTATTTCGAATAATTCATCTTTTTTTCAAAGAAACAAGTCTGCAATAGTAGTATACTTGAGCTATTAATACTGAGAAGTAGGAATTGTTGTGTTGTAGGTTTCCGACAATGAGTCTGTCAAAATATGCCCTAGCTAAGCGAATAGACAATAGCTCCCAGTATGTGACAAGCTGTACGGTAAGTCTTTCAAATTTACCGCTCACTCACCTTGAGCATACTATCCAATCAACATCAAGAAGGTTTAAAATTTCACACCTATCATGTAGGAGCTACCATCCAATCAACAACAAGAACGTTTAAAATTTTGCACCTATCATGTGGAAGCCACAGACCAATTATGTGAAGGCCATATTATGGTATACTTCCAGGCCGAGAGGTGGCGCTGAAATACGTGACATATTTTATGAAGAGTAAGATCGCATTCTACCTAACCTTCTTACCTATGATACGGAGTTAGTACTTTTAAACACCGGATCACCTACAAGGTTCACAAATAACGGGAATAATTCAGTCGTGGATTTAACTTTTGCAACTCCAGATATAGCAATTACTTGTGCATGGGAAACTTTACCTGATGTACTGGGTTCAGACCATTTTCCAATTATTATAGAAATTAACCAAGGCATAGAAAGTAAAGGCATCATAATACACCCAAAAACAAAATGGAATTTGAATAAAGCAGACTGGACTTTATATCAAGATGTTGCGAATAACTATTTCTCACAACACATTAAAAATAGCAGTAACGCGGAAGATAATTATAGCTTATTAAATTGAAGGGATAAATAAGGCAGCCAATGCCTCTATACCCATTTACCAATCCTTTAAACCGAACAAAAAAACTCCTCTTCCACCATGGTGGGATCAAAGCTGTGAAGAGGCTATTAAAAAAAGAAAACAAATGCTCAACACGTATAAGCAACAAAGCACTATGGAAAATTATGTCAAATGTAAAAACGAAATTTCAAAAACAAAAAAGTTTTTAAAAATTAAAGCTAAACTACATTGGCAGCTCAGGTGCGAAAACTTAAATAGAAATACACCATTGACAAACATATGGACTCAGGCCAGAAAAATGAATAGGATATATAGGAAAGGTAAACATCGGATAATTATGAATGGCAAGAACAATTTTTAGATAAAATTACACCAGCTAATGCTATGGGCAGTATTCGTTGGACAGTTAACAGGTGAACATCGTTCGATAAATCTGTGCCGGTGTCCTTAACTAGTGCTATTAACAAATTAATAGGTAGGTATTTAATTTGAAAATAAACCAAACGATCTTCAAAAAAAGGTAGGATCTAATTATTTATTATTATGAGTGAATCGGGGGGTGGTGTTGAGCCACCCCAGAATAATACATTATTATTGGATACGGAAGACAAAAGGTATATCAATTTAAATAACAGATATAAAATAAATGATTCAGGCTATTATAATGTCTTTGTAGAATCTACGGACAAAAACTTGTCCCGTTTATCACCAGTACGTGTCGGTCATTATTTATTTAAAAACCAATATTTTAAACACGATGTACTAGACATTAAAGCTGTTGGAAGAAATAAGGTGAAGGTAATTTTTAAAACTTATTCGTGCGCAAATTCTTTAATTGAACATAAGCTTATTAAAAATAATAAACTTGTAGCGTATATTCCATCATTGTTTACTCAAAAGAAGGGAATTATTAGGGAAGTCGATACGTTTTTGGATGAAAAGTATATTTTAGAAAATATTATTTCAGATAAAAATGTTGTCGAAGTAAAAAGGTTAAAACGAAAAATAATTGATTCGGATAATGAAACAATTCCTGTACCTCGCCAGATGGTCATTTTGACATTTGAAGGAAATAGCATTCCTAAGACTGTTAAATTAGACTTGGTTAGGTTTAATGTTGAACAATATATATATATATATATATATATATATATATATATATATATATATATCCGGTTGTTCAGTGTTTTAATTGATTTCGGTTCGGTCATACTGCTCGGCAATGCAAATCAACATCAAATCGTTGTAAAAAATGTAGCCAAACTCATGATAATAATGAAACATGCACTAACTCCCTATCTTGTTTACATTGTAACCACTGAACATTACTCACTCTCTAAACAGTGTCCTGCATTTAAACACCAATACAAAATAAAATCAATAATGGCTTTAGAAAACACTACCTTTAAAGAGGCAGAAATCACAGCTAACAATCCGTCATACGCCAAGGTAACTACAAATAATAGATTCGATATCCTCAATACTATACAAAATTTCCCTGCCTACCTATAATCCCTAATCCCTACAGGGACGAGTTTATGGCGTATAAAGAAAAAGTTCCAGCCTTGATAGGAAATATTATCAAGAAAATTAACCCTAAAATATTTTTACCTAACTTACAAAAAAATACAAAGGAAGAAATTGAAAAAATGTTGATCAACCTAACACGCTAACAGATATTGAAAGCGATGGGGAATAACAGGACATTTAACATACTGCAGTGGAACTGTCAATCTATAAATAAACATAAACCTAGTTTACTTGATTATCTCGAGCACAATGTTGTTGATGTCATTCTGCTTAATGAAACATGGCTTTCTAAAAATAAAAATTTCGGTTTAACAGGTTACAACGTCATCAGGAACGATAGACCTGATGGTTACGGTGGTGTAGCCATCCTTATATCAAATAACATTTGTTTTACTGAAATTAATGTAACGAAAAACTTTAATAAAGGTATTGAAATGTGTGCAGTTTTTATAGAACAAATTAAATTGGTAATCGTTTGTATTTATAAACCACCCAAAGTAATAGTCAATAATAGAGATTGGGAAAAGCTTTTAACTCAATTTAGTGGTAGGGTTGTCATTGGTGGGGACTTCAATGGGCACATAGTAGGTGGGGCTCCTTGAAGGATTCCGCTCAGGGCAAGTGTATAGTAGAAGCACTAGATAACAGTAATTTAGTTCTGCTAAACGACTGTAGACCGACCAAAGTAACAAGACCTAATGAACTTCCATCAATGGTGGATCTATCCCTTGTTACACCAAATCTAATTGGATACAC